TGTGGGTAAGGGGTAGTTCGGTATTGACTGTGACTCGGTTGGTTCGGACACTTGTACTTTATTGTTAAACAGAAGTCGAAAGCGCGGTGCATTCGCGTCGACGAGTAAAAAGAGACTGACTTCTCAGATCGTTGCTTGGCTTACAGAATCCTGAATGGCATAGGTATATTACTCGCATGTATCGTACGACAAGGTTTCATATTTCGAAAAGCTGGAAGAAAGATGTGTACATATGTTGACAATATGCAATTCCGTTGAATGAGTGAAAAGGATGTCTGTGACGCTCACATGGACGGTCTAATTATTTCAACTTGTAAACATTTAACAAATATTAGAACACATAATATACGTATATTAATTGTTTGTTATTCTTTTGATAAGAAAAATGTGTCGCTACAACTATAATATTGGGTTGTCCGGAAAGTCCGTGCGGATTTTTAAGCAAAATTCAAACGACAAATTTTTATTGTTAAAAGTAATTTTATTCTGTAACATATGCACCATTATTTTGCACAATACTTTTCCATCTTTTGGGTAATTTCAAAATTCCCCTCTCGTAGAAGTCCTGGGGTTTTTCGGCGAAAAAGCTGTCCAAGTAGTTTTTGAGGAGTTCCAAAGAAGCAAAGTTTAAACCATTAATTGAATTTTGTAGCGACCGAAATAAATGATAATCCGAGGGTGCAATGTCGGGGGAATATGGTGGATGAGGCAAAACATCCCAGCCAAGCGCCAATAATTTTTGTCGAGTCTGTAAACTTGTATGAGGTCTGGCGTTATCATGATGAAAAACGACGCCTTTCCTATTGATCAATTCCGGACACTTTTTGGTGATTTCCACCTTCAATTTATCCAACTGTGAACAATACTTGTCCGAATCGATGGTTTCGTTGTTCGGTAGTAGCTCATAGTACACTATCTCTTTCCAATTCCACCAAATGCAAAGCATTACCTTCTTTGGATGTAAACCTGCCTTCGGAGTGATCGATGGCGGTTCACCTCGCTTGCTCCATGACCTTTTACGCTCGACATTATTATAAATTATCCACTTTTCGTCGCCTGTTATGATACGCTTCAAAAATGGATCGTATTCGTTGCGTTTGTATAGCAAATCGCTGATGGAAATGCGATCAATACGATTTTTTTCAGTTAAGTCGTGCGGTACCCAAACATCAAGCTTTTTTATAATCTGGAGCTTGTTTAAATGTTCGGAAACAACTGATTTGCCAATGTTTAACCTTGCTGCGATTTCCCGAACTGTGATTTGCCGATCGGAATCGATTAAAGCTGTAATTTGGTCGACATCGGTGGTGACTAGCCGGTCAGAGCGAGGAGCATCTTCAATATTCATTTCTCCTGAACGAAATTTAGCAAACCACTTCTGGCACATGCGATCACTTACGGCATCTTCCCCGTATACGGCACATATTTTTTTTCGAGTTTGTGTCGCGTTCTTGCCTTTGCGGAAATAAAAAAGCATTATGCATCGAAAAAACACGTTATTTCCTTCCATCTTTAAGCTGATTTCAAGTAAACAGTTTTTAATTTATTGGGATAATGAATATCACTAATTATGCTTTGAAATGTCACTAATCAAAACACGAAAGCATCTGACACATCGCATCGACATAAACATATGATATTCGCCTTCAAACGACATCTGTTGAGAAATACGTACGAACTTTCCGGACAACCCAATATAATGTAATCAAGAGGAAATTCTATATAATAATAGTATACGTATGGTTATATAAGATATAGAGTATATAAAATGTCTTAATATAATCATCATAAGGATGACGATGTTGACTTATATTATTATTGGATGCCGGGTATTGCTGGCACTATTTTTGCATTAGTACGCTGAGCACATCCCATGGCTATGAGCAGATCTTGCAGGCTGCTCATTTCATCTTCGCTTTCACGCTTCAATTCAAGCGTGATGACAGCACCGTAGATTTCTACGGGCTCGAGGATCCGCATCCATCCTTCTCTCCTTCCTAGCAGAGTCCTAGTGAGTGCTCTACTATTCCGAGGCCACCTGGGTCTTAATCCGATGGGGCCAAGGTGAGCAAGTCCGCATGGAATGGCTTGCCAATCCATCTCCCGAAAACGATCCTCCAATATGTACATATCGGTGATCGGGCGTCGGATGACACGGCCCCAGTCTTTTAATGCTACTATGACCGTATCTCTTCCTTCGAGACTCATCACCCCCCGTTGCCAAGTTTTTCCTTCGCGACGTATTCGTCTGGCAACACACGGTCGGGGTTGTGAATAGCCCCCGCCCTCTTCATACGGCGTGAGAGATCTTCGAGATCTTCCCGGGCGTGGTAGAGTTGGACCCATAAGAGGATGAGTGAGTCTACTTTGATGACTCTTACGTGCAAAGACCCGCGGTTTAGATCCTTGGAATTGATCCTCCTGATATCCATGTTCTACAAATAATGAAGATTTTTCTGCTTACGGATGCTAGAGTGGATGGGTGCATGACGTGGTAAAAAAATTTTGTTAAAGGTTGTGTCGGCATGGCGTAGCATGCGGTTTAAGTAATTAAATCTGTATGGCGTAACATGCGAGCTGACATGTCGTAGCATGTGGTTATAATAGGGGGGGGAGGGGTGTTTCAGTTCCTGAACTCCAAAGTATAAGTCGTTGTTTCCGTAGTGGGGAGGGGATAGGTTCGCTCCTTCATCTCTGTAAGAGGTAAAGGTTCTCTGCTCGGGATCATCGTTCTCGGGCGCACTGGGTGATGGCGCGCTGGACTTTTCATTCTTAGGTCTATCCTTTCCTAAGTGTAATACGAGGGTCGTTTGAAAAGTCCGTGCAAAGTCACTGCTGATGGCACTACTGGCGCGTATCAAGGTTAGATTTAGTTAGTAGCATCTCTTGGAGGAACACACACCAAGTTACAGCCAGATCGGTCTATTTGTTTGTGTTTGGCATTCATTTGAATCGAGGAAGTCGAGGGATTTTCAATAACGCACCAGCTCACACCTCAGCAGTTGTGGTCGCAAAATTAATGGAATTAGGGTTCCAACTCGTCTCACATCCCCCCTATTCTCCAGACTTGGCTCCCTCGGACTACTATTTGTTCCCCAATATGAAGAAATGGCTGGCGGGAAAAAGATTTTATGGAAACGAGGACGTGATTGCAGAAACAAACCCCCCTCGACTTCCTCGATTCAAATGAATGCCAAACACAAACAAATAGACCGATCTGGCTGTAACTTGGTGTGTGTTCCTCCAAGAGATGCTACTAACTAAATCTAACCTTGATACGCGCCAGTAGTGCCATCAGCAGTGACTTTGCACGGACTTTTCAAACGACCCTCGTAGGAGCTGAGTAAGCGAATCCCATATGGCTCCCAGCAGGTACACTGACCATCCGTATACCGTATGTAAGGCGTATCCATGTACGAACATGTCAAGCAATAATTTGATAAGTCTGCTGATCAAATACAATCCAGCACTAATATTGTCGAATACTAAACATTTGTTCCAAAATTTTGTCCATGCAGAGATTGCGATCCTCTCTATTGATGCTTCGTCGATGAGATTTGAGAGTGATCCTCCGTTAAGTACTGTTGATTGCCCCAAAATGCCTCTTGCTATAGTGTTGAGAATCGCTGGTGGCTCTGCGGGGAACATTATATCCTTAAGTTTCTCTAAGTCGGATTGAGAGTATATACCGCTGGTTGCCAATGCTCCAGGACTGATATATTTCCATGACGGCTTTGTAGAAGGCCTCATTACGGTAGGCGGTACTATTTTCACAGGTTTAGGTATCATTTTGTACCATGCATCTCCTAAGAGGTACATGGTAGGCGCGAATGAATTGCAAGTGATCTGTGTTGATGATGTCGTATCAATATGTGCGTTTGCGGAGTTAAAAAGTATGTTTCGTTTCCTCGAAGTACCGGAAGTTGTTCGTAGCACTCGAAGGTCCGGGCTAACGCTATTTCGACTGGTACACATTTTACAATGTGAATCACTTCTCCGGCCAAAAGTGCCATGTATCCAGGTCCTTTCATAAAGTGATATGCAAAAACGTCAGGCGATCTGGCGGCTATTGCCAATGCGTTTTGCATAGTCTGGTACTCGAGTTAACATTGTTGTAATAATATATTTCTATATAGCTGATTTATTTGAGTACGTATATGCCTTTCTACGTATACGAATTTCGAATTTATGTACGTAAAAAGATCGAGGTTTACTGACACAAAGCCAAATATTTTGAAGACTTTGGCTCCTGGTGAGGTTTCAAAAATTATATATTATTATAATTTTGGATGTTCGGTTTTGATGAATGTGTGTCCACAAACGGAATATTTTCCAGTGCTTGTTAAAGAAAAAATCATGTTTGGCGTTAACGAGTAGACTGTTTGAGAACGTTCATTAGTAGGATCGAATATTTTATTGGCATGTCCAGTATATTAATCTGTATAATATTCCTTTTATTAGCAATATTCTTAATTATCAAAACTTGTTCAATTAAATATGCTCCATTATGTAAAATTAATTAAATTTTAACTTATTTTTTATATTCATTTATACAATAGTATAATATAATATAATATCAATATTAATTAATTTTTATCGCAATGTAATAATACATACTCATAATATATAACATATCAAATCACCTTAATCTTACTATATTTTTTAAATAATTTCTTATACTTACACGCTACACTAATTTATAGTAATCCTATTTATCCCTCCTCTTTTATATGAATAAAATAAATAAAATAATCAAACATCTTACAAACTTACCCTCTCCATCTAACATCTCTTATTGATGAAATTTTGGATTACTTTTAGGATTTTTCCTCATAATCAAAACTGTTGGAGATATTCGTTTAACAGGACACGTATACATTCTGTAATTTCGCTACATTTATTTACTTTGCGCGTTTATAAAGAAACATGCTATATTTGGAGTACGAAGTCTCTATTCACGATGTGTGGTGGGGAGAAGCTCGCTGCGTCGAGTCAATTGTCGAAACGACTACAAGCCAGTCTCCTCATGTAACTCGCCGTACTGACCTCGTGTACCGTTATTCAATAAATTTCAATCAAGTTCATTTTTCAAGGTTTTTGCGTTGGTCTTTGTCGATCCCTGCGCCTGCATCCCAACAGAAACCATTAGTGGCTTATTTCTATCCATACATTATTGCCCTAATATCAATTCCGCTTTTAACAGAATTATTCATATCATTCAAAATGTATCTAACGGATGAATTATACATAAATTTTAAATATTAGAAAGTGGCTAAATGTTACAAAGGTTAAATGAAAAAGAGCATACAGCTACACTACAGATGTAAATAAGTTATATATTAATAAACAATTCAAACAATATGTAGACGTTTCGGTCACAATCTGATCATCTTCAGTACAATAATTAAAACATTAAATTATTTAAAAAACTAGATACATAATTCGACCCTTAATCGTAATGTTAGTTAGTAAATAATCTATAGCGTCTTTATTGTGCCCATTATTCGCATCGGTATCTCTGGTTTAAACAATATTAATTACATTAAATTTTAACCATTTATACAATACATGACAATACAAAATTCGACCGAATTTAACAGTAGACTGTACGGTTTTCTTCTTTTCTTTATTATATGGAATTAATCTCATCGATCTAAGTAATTCACATCGATTGTAATTATTGTCAAGCCATATCACGCTCTATAAATACCGACGAGCCGCCACAGAGAGACATTATACGAGTACATACAACAATTATACATAATATTCATATAAATGGAGCCTCTTTTTTTATTATTTTTATATACATACATATTAGACAAAATATTTATTATAATTCATTCAATTTAATTAATACCTGAATTTCTGGCGTATCAATTTTCTTTTTATCCATACTAACAGCATTTCTTGGTTATGTTCTACCTTGAGGTCAAATATTTTTTTGAGGAGCAACAGTAATTACAAATCTAGTATCAACTATCCCTTATATTGGAAACATATTAGTAATATGAATCTGAGGTGGATTTTCAATTAATAACTCAACCTTAAATCGATTTTTTTCTTTTTATTTTATTCTTCCATTCATTATTATTTTATTTATTTTTATTCATCTATTTTTTTACACTCCTCAGGATCTTCAAATCCCATAGGAATTAATAGAGATCTATATAAAATTTCTTTCCACCCATATTTTACTCTAAAAGACATTATAGGTTTCACCTTAATTATAATTTTTTTTAAAATCATACAATATCCATATATATTTAGAGATCCAGACAGCTTTACTCCAGCAAATCCATTAGTAACTCCTACTCATATTCAACCCGAATGATACTTTTTATTTGCTTATGCCATTCTTCGATCGATTCCAAATAAATTAGGAGTTATCGCCCTTTTAATATCAATCTTCTCATGAATTTCGCTCCGAGATAAAAATCAATAAATACTTATGGAAAGCGTAAGATCGGCGCCAAGATTAACGGTCAAGTCGCGGACGATTCTCGCGAATCCGTAATTACAAAATTTAAGAAACAGCACGCGACGTTCAGGGGTAGATTCTGGGTAGTCCCGTGGCGACGATGTATGCTCGCCTTCTCGACGCCCGAGACGCGCGTTTCCCCACAAATCTTAAGGTCA